TATATATACACAATGGACACCATCGTTCTAGAATTATCAATATCTCATTATTATTCACATAATATTTCACAGATTCTAACCGCAGACTCTAACCTTGATAATAAATTTATAACTTAGTACCTACTAGCGACTAGATAACGGTATGCATAAATCATTTATAAGCTCAAACAATGGGATTTACTAGGGGATACTACGGGAATAGAATATATTGACTCATTTTACACTGAGCACTTTGTAAGTTGATACGCGTATTAATTAGCAACTTTCTATTAAATTGTAATAATTTCAGCAATATACTTAAAGACTAATGCACTAAATTGATATAACATGCATTTGATATAATATGCAAAATAATTAATACACATATCATGTATATGTTTACACGTATCGCCGAAGTTAAGATAAATCAACAGAAAGTTACTAGTTAGTACCTGTATCAAGTGCACGATATAAACTAGGCTACTAATATTGTCTGCTTATAGTGTTCTCGTTATTACCTTCTGATTGCAACGACGACGTAATTTAGAGATATGTCTTTCTCTTTGAGTGTGATTTTTCGTTTTAATTAACATAATAAAAATGTATGCCAGATTTATGAATGTTTTTCTTTAAAACTATAAATATTTTTAAGTATTTAAATAAGACATCAGTTCTATGTATAATAATGTACGAAAGAAAAATTTTTGTAATATAACTCAGAAGAACTAAGATGTAATAAATAATACAAATAATTTTGATATAAATTTCCCAATAAACAATTGTGTCATCTGTTTAAAAAACACACAGCGTGCAAATGTTTTCATCAACAATTTCAATTCATTACGATCGCCTATGAAAATGTTTTTACATCTTTAAAATGTCATAAATTAACGCACTTTACGGACACAAAGCTTTTCGTTGCTCTACGACTTAATAAGCTAAATGAAACAGAAAACCGGTATTGTCTTTCCATATTTCAAATTATTTTCCCTTTAATTATTTACTTGTCATTAGCCGCTATGTTACACGAGAATGTGGACGAGATGTTTCGTAAATTGCTCGCTGTCAATCATTATTTTGTGAACATATCATAGCAATTAATTCGAAAATCGAAAAAAAAAAGAATAATATACAATATTCAATTCCAAATAGATGTGAGAATCTCGATAAAAAGTCGAGAATAATTTGTACATTCGTAATTCTTATTCTGGAAATTCTTATTCAGATAAATTATCTCTTTAGCATGCTGCATGGCTCTGATTAACTTGATCGTTCAACGATCGATGCATTTAAGGATCTTGTAAGTTGACTAATTTTAGTCTTTTCTGATTCCGTTTCCTTCAATCGTAATAATTATCGGGCCAATTATTTTTAAACTGATGAACGATCGCGCGAAGTGTTTACTTTCTCAAGTGTAAAATCATCCACCGTTTATTACAACTATCAGCAAACTTATGAAACATCTCGTGGTCTATTCGTGTGAATTTTCTCTCTGTATACAGACTAGTAACATGTACATGATATATTATCTATGGCCGGTATTCATAATCGGTTCTATATTTAAGACTGTCTGAAATAATTTTAAGATGTCATAAGCCAATCAGAGGCTGGTGTATATACTCGCGATTCTTGTATGTAGGATCGTCTTGAGTACAGTCTTTAGATGTCATGAACTAATATTACAGAGCCACATTAGCATCTTAAGACATTACTTAAGAACGTCTTCTAATAAGAACGGACTATAAATACCGGCCGCAGAGCTGTAAACATTTTCAAATATTACTTAAAACGGTCTTAAAATAAGAACGAATTATAAATACTATCCTTATGTTCACCGCTTAAACGACTAGTGTATCATTGCACCCATATATAACTTTTTACCAATCGACTTATGTAACCCATACCCTTTTTATAGTCCTAGTTTTCTATCTTCTTAATAATATACAGTATATGCAAAAAAAAATGCGACTTTTTTTTAATCACTATTATGTTAGCTGAATATGACATAGTAACGCCATCTGTTGTATAATGGAAGCATCACTTTTAATATATTATAAAGTTGTAATAATAATTTTATATTTTTGTCAATCTCTCTCTCGTATATTAAAAATGTTCGATAAAAAAAAATATACGATTTGCTCCATATCCAAAATCTAATTCAAGAAATTTGTCAGCTTGTGAATTGCCACCGTTCCGCGTATTGTATTCTGTGTGTTAAAAAAAATTGGTACCTAATCAAATATCAATAAGTTCTCAGACAACACAAAGTGTCCAAAATCGAGACATATCTTTGGCATCTAAAAGACATCTTAAGAACGTCTTATGTCTCAAATTTGGACTTTGTATTATCAGAGTTCGTAATTCCTAGGAAATTAGGCGATATAATTGTTCACGAACAGCATGAACTCTTATTGGATTGGTCAATGGCAAGATTGTCTAAAATCCTGTCCACTCCATACAAAAAAATGACAGAAAGGAGGCAAATACTAGTTCAAACACACTCTCCAAAGAGTGGTTAAATTGGATCTTAAAACAATATCTCGGGCGGACTGAACGACATTTGATCACCGAACGCATATACGAACGGAACTATACAAAAATTGGGTATCTTGAAAAAAAAAGACATGTGATTTTGCTTAAGTAGTCGTGCAACTATTTGACAGTTTCAAATACTCGTACGACAGTAGATGAACTAAATATTTATGTTTTAATCAAATTTGTCCCCGGCTCTACTCATTTTATTTATAATAATTAAACCGATAATTGAAATATTAGTTGTAAGAGTCGCATTTTTTTTGACGCTTACTGTACTAATTATTGCAACGCGGAGACGATCAATCAACATTGACTTATCCACCATGATTACTCATGTTACTCTGAAGAATCGGAATCAGATTCGGCCGGTGCGTCGGGCGTTTCTTGAACTTCTGGCATGGTCTCAGGGATTTTCTTCGTGACCGTCGCCGTGACATACGCACCCGGCCCTTCACCTTGCGTATGCTCAATCCCTACCCTAAATAACGTTTGAGACAATACAGCGATACTTAACAAATAATATCAATTTAATATTAAATAAAAATTTTATATTAAATAAAAAGAAAACAATAAAAAGAAACAATTAGAGGAAACATTCGAATTCTCATCCGGGTGTCATGTCATCTTTGTTTAACATTCGATAAACAACAAAAGAGAGTGATACCTGGATGACACTCGGGTAAAAATCTGAATTCAGCGTAAATGGACTGTCTTCTTATAGGAATATCAAACGCTTATTAATTTTAATAATCGAATAATTCGTCGATAGATATACTGCAAAGGTTTGGAATTCTTGATATATAATTTATAATATTAAAATAATCTTTTTAAAAACTCACCTGTATTCGTGACGCGACAAATTGCGAACATACTTCTCTGGAGGCGCATCACTGTCACTGTTCTGGAGACTGACGCTCCTCGCAGTTGTATGAGATACTTGTGTCGCCGGCATTGTAAACTCTACGTAACAATATTCCGAGAGATTTTCAGGGATCTGATCGTAAGAGGTGAGGGCCATACGGCAAACCAGCTGATGCGTCGTGTACGCACCTAGAAATAACCGCAAATAACTGAAATTGGACGAGAGCCAGCAGCAATCATTTGGACGATGATTTGAACGTATATTTAAACCATTACGCGTAAAGCTTCTACTTTTATGCAGAATCTAAATATTCTTACGTTTAGTAAAGATATTGTTCAGACTTCCAGAATTCAGTTTTTTAGTTTTTTTAGTTCACAAAATAGAATAAAAAAAATAGTATAAAACAATATAAATATAATATAAAAATTTTTTACCAATGAAACAAGAAAAATTAGAATAATTTGTTAATCTCGACTGACGCTATAGTGGCAGTAGAAAAGCGTTAGTAGTAAGCAAATCAATTATTTTATTCGCTACTACTTATATTATTGTCTTACGTTATATTATTGTCTCGACTGTAATTGATCGATCGTTTATGTCTTACTGCTTAGATTTTTTTTTATATAGTTTAAATAAAAGAAATATATAGACAAGTACCTTGACCCTCTTTTGGCAACCTAGGCATCCTCCATACGATGGCGCGATGTTGATGCTCATATTTCGCCTGGCCGGAAGTTACTTCCATCAGCTGCGGTTCTAACGTATCGACAGCACCCAAGAATCTCTCGATACCCTTAATCTTCCCTGTTCTTCTATGTGCTGATTTTACCGAGCCATATCTGAAGTGTTTCTCCACCCTAAAGAGGTAGATCCAACACTCAGGTATAGGGAAGCGAACCATCACGTCTTCGCATGGTATTTGGCCCAATTTTCTGGATGCAAAACCAGGCACGAGAATGTCTGCTCTCAACTCCACCTGAAAACGCGTAAAGAGAGATCAAATGATGCAGCTACAATAAACATGTCACTATGAAAATTTGTTGCGCGTTGCAAGAATGAGAGGAATGAAAAGAAATTTCAACAAAAAAGTTTTACATAAAGCCCAATATAATATTTTTATAATAGAACGGAGAACAATACTATCTAATATAACAGATAGAAGAAAGATACGATGATGGTTAAAATCAACAAGAAGTTTTCGCTCTTATTTAAATACTATACGGAAAGTTTATTGAAGAAATGGAAACAGAGAAAATTACCTTGTTCCCGGTAACGCACATAACAGCTTTTAGCTGAAGCGGTAGTTCTCTATTTTTAGGCGGTCTTACGCGAAACCGCATCAGTTCAATGTAACATGCATCAGGCGGCTTGAACCTTAGAAGATATGTTAGTAAGGTATTAGTTGTAAAATAAATTTATAATTTTATGGTTTAAAATACACACGTTGATTAGTTAAAGGCAAAATTATGTTAGTGTCTCAAAATAAAGGTACCTTATATTATAAAGAAATTTAAGTCTATTATTATTAACGTTATAGCTTATTATTAGCTTATTTGTAATTGCAAAGAAGAAATTGTTAGAATTATTAATGCTTATTTGAAGAAAGTTACACTTATTGATTTTATTATTGTAAAGTACGTACTTTATTATCCTTGATTTTTCGTACTCGTCCTGCTGAACGCATGAATGGAACTCGACGTTCTCCAGGCGAATCCATTCTTCCGTTACGACGGGGATGATATCGTGTCTACCAACAACCTCTTTACCTTGTCGCCACATATCATTTATTCCTAATTCTATGTCGGGCATACCTAAACAATAAATTGAATTTCATAAAAAATCTAAATTGTAAGAACACAATTTTTCTATTGTGATTTTTTTTTTTTTTAATGTAGCGTAATATATTTGCAATTGCTGTGTGATATTTACCGGAAAGGAAACCCAGGAAGAAAAGACGAACGCGTGCGATTTGCTTGTCTACGTGACCCTCTGCGTTCTGCTCGACATACAGCTCATCCACGACTGTTACCTGAACTTCTTCCATTTTGTAAGTTAGAGCCCGATCACGATGCGCCGGTAACCTGAAGAGTGCTTCCTCGATAGCACAAGAAAATTGTTTCATGTCCTCGAAACATTGGGAACCAAGTTTGAATAACTGAGAGATCTGCACACATTATGGGATATGTACAGATGTGTTAATTGTACTGCTTGATATGTGTTAGAAATAATTTATATAAAGAACTAAAAAAATTTACCTGAGGTGCATGTTCGACAGGAAGACCCAATTTCTTCAAATCACTCCCAAACTCCTTGACGCCTTGATAATCCCCTTGAATAGCGTACGCTGCGAACTGGCTGAGTTTGTTTGTAAGTCGTTCCGCCTTCGTGACCTGGCCGGGTCGCACGCCAGGTCTTTCCTTATAGAAGATGTATTGTAGCTTCACTGTAAAGATCTTCCCGTATTGATCAAATTGTTGAGCGCCGATGTCCGATACCGAATAACAAGCGAGCAGAGGTAATTCTTGAAACGGATCTTTGTCGTCTTTATTATTGAACAACTGTAGACTCGGATTGTCACCCTGGTAAACCAGTTTGACAAAGATCTTCTTCCAAAAACGTTGCCCTGTGATTTTCTTTTTGTTCGGCTGTCGCAACTGCATCTCCCAACCATCGCCGGTATAAGTTATCCGCGGGAAATCCTCAAGCGGTTGGCTAACGTCCTCATCAAACAAAGGATTGTGATGGGTTTCCTGTGTGTGTGTGTGTGTGTGTGTGTGAAATAAAAAAAAAATATTTTATTCCACATATAGGACTTGATCAAATTTGTTGCATTTTAAGCACCGCAGTTCTTTCATACGTATTTATGCTCTTAATTTAATTAAAAAATAAAAGACAAGACCTGCGCGTAAAAATATATTTGGTTGATGGGGAAATAATTTAAAGTAACGCGGCATATAATAATTTATCCAATGCGAATACCTGAGAATCTGTCCTAGCCATTTCGGCTGTCTGTGCAGTCTCAGATACCACAGCATCCTGCGCGATTCCAGATTTATCGAAGGGATTGAAACGCGGCGAGGAATCCGCATACGCAGCGATTTGCGGACTTTTTGGCGGCGGTGCTAACGTAGGTACAGGTCCACCTTCTATTGCTGTTATCTGATCTCCTTCTTTTGGTCTAAGAGATAAATAGAGAACTCATTACCTATGCACTAATGTTAGAAATAGTATTATTATATTCTTGAATCTAACTGTGTACAGCAATTCAGACAATAATTGATAATTTCTCGATGTTATTTACTAAATATCTCACGATTAGCATCAGAAATAAATCAATTAAAAATTTCTCAATTTCTTTCTTTTTAGTCAGTAGCTGTAGCTTTCCTTAACTTACTTGATAAACACACTGAAATCGGGCCCCTCGTCCGATTCCGCAGACTCAGCTCTTTTTACTTTCGTATCCTGTGGTGGAGCCGTCATACTCAAGAAAGAATCAAAACCATCAGATTCTCCAAAACCAGTGATCGTCGCTTCCGAGCCAGCTGCTGATGAATCTCCCCAAACTGAAAAGAAAATGATTATAAACAGTTAAGTTAAAATATAAAGTTGCAAAAGTTGTTGCTTCGTATATACCTACCATCGCTGGAAGTGTCCATAGCGATTGGTCCGCCACCGAAGGCATCCAAGAAAGGATCTCCGCCATTGGTTTCTGGTTCGGCAGCCTTATCAAATTTGGACGCAAAAGCATCGAATGAGTCGCCAGTATCCTCGATCGCCTTCGTCGTAGCGGCGAAGTTATCCAATTGTTCTTCGGGCCTGTAAGCCTCGTTTCTAGGAAATTCTGTTCCAGGAGTCGGACTGGTGGAGATCAGGCCACTGCTGACCTCCTTGGTCGGTTCTCCGAAATCACCGAGTAGATCCGAGGCAAAGGCTGACTGCGTGACTTCCGATGGAGCAAATAAAGGCTGAGCTGCAGTTGCGAAGGGTGCGGACGTGGTTTCGACTATGCCGAAGGGCGTTGTCATGCTTGTATTGGTCATGGAGAAAAAGTTCGCATCAGCATTGGTAGAAACCTGTTCTACTCCTATAAAGCAATATATAGAATTATGTAAAATATAATAAAATTAAAGCAATGTAACATTATTCAGATGAATTGATGTTTTTAACTATTCTATTTCTATAAACGAAACAAAAAAAAGAGAAGAAATTTTCTAACCTTGAAAGAGTTCAGTAGCTGCTATCAACGTAGGTTGAATCGCAGGGACAGGTTCCGTGAGGTCCAAGACAGTACCAGACTGTTCAACGTCTGTTTCTATGACCGCGAAAGGGGTCGCAGAAGTCACTGAAGGCCGTTTCTCGTTACTAATAATATCTTCCGGATATTCCATTCCAAAGGTAGGCTGCGCTTGCGGTACCAGTGCCTCTTCGCTCATACTTGCGAAGGGATTGTCTTTGGTAGTGGTAGTCATCGAAACTCCAGTGATAAGACTGGTAGTATCCGTAGTGGTCATGGAAGTAGAGAAGATACCGGTCGAGGTGACTTCAGAAGGCGCATCAAAGAGATCCATGATGTCTTGATTTTTTGGCGGCTCAACAACTTTATCGTCTGGGATCAGATCCGGCACATTGCTGTCGACGTCCAGAAGATCGGCAAAGCTATGCTCCGGAGTAGGTGACGGAGAGTGTATCAGCGTGGGACTGGGCGTTCTAGTTGCTTGCAAACGATCCAGAAGATGGTTTGAGGTAGCGTCCATTGCTCCCGTAACTGATAATATCAGATCCTTCGTGTTCTTGGCAGGCGGTTGTACCGGTGGATGCGGTATCGGTGGTGGTTGTGGTCTCGGTGGAGGTGGTCTTGATGGCGGCGGTTTTCCATTCTTCGACGGAGGTGTTGCCGCTGGAGATGGTTGAGGCGGACTAACAATCGTCGTCGGTTGTTTCTCGGCTGTTGTCGTCGTCATCGTACCAAACAGATCTACATTCGTATTATCGGACGTGACGAAAATATTTGATGATTGGCTAGTGAAGACGTTGGTTGCTGGCGTATTAGTGTCGGCGATCGCTCCGAATCCAGTATCCGGAGCGGTACTTTCAATGCCAAAGGAGGCAAATGGATTAGTAGAATCGACGGATATTGGTGGTTCGTACGCTGTTTGGTCGCTGCCGAAATTTAAAAAAGGATTCTCGCCCGCGCCGGAAGCTGCCGCGTCGGTGAAATCTTGGAGGAAAGGATTAGAAGCCTGCGGGGGCAAACCGTCCCCCGGTTCCGTTGCATAATCGTCCATTAAGAACGGATTGCCACCCTTGGAATCCATGATTGAATTGATTCAAAAACTCCGATTACGAGTTAATTTTAACAATTGTTGAGCGAAATCTTTTAAACTGTACTTCCATAAAAATAGAATAAACTAATTTTAGTCTGTTTGTTTATACTCTGCGTGTTAGGCAGATATTTTTTGGTACAATTTTAATTCGTCAATTAACACAAGCATTTTTGGAAATTTCCCATTAGATTATAATATATGTAGAAATTAATTGTTGACGTAAGTATAGAGCATAAGGATTTAAGCTCTTTATATAGCTTCAAAAGAAATAATCAACTCGTATACTTAGTTCGATTAACAACAAGATATTCAAAAGATTGCTCTAAAGATTTTGAAAAAATAGAACTGTATATAACAATTGATAATATTACTTCATCAGTTCGGATTCGAGCAATTTCAGTTCGGTCCGCCCAGGCTCGATAGTAGCGAAGCTAGTATCGAAGGGATCCACGTCGTCGTCCAAAGTAAGATCTTTATTCTGAAGCGGCGTCAACACTTTGTCGCCGGGATCTTGTCCGTCTAAAGACAAAAAGTCTTGGGACTCCTTTACTTCGTCCGCTCTAGGATCGAAGTCGTCAATTTCCGGGACTGTCGATGCTACGATAGGTACCACCGTAGGTAGAACAATAGAGCGCGGTGGTGGTTGTTGAGGAATTTGCTGCAATTCACTCTCCAATATCTTCAACTCCGCTTTACCGGGCAGAATGTTCGTCGCGATGGAAGTGTCGAAAGGATCCGAATAGGAAATCTCCTCTTCCACGATAGGTTTACTCTCGATTCTAGGTGTCAGAGGTTTTGCGTCGACTTCGATTTCCGCATCCAAAATGCTCTCCTGCCTGTGGGGTTCTTGTCTTGGTATCACTTCCTCTTCGACTTTTTGTATCAGCGACGATTGTAGCTGCGCAAGTTTTAAATTGCTCGGTGTGACCGAGGTAGCCGTGAAGTCGCTCTGCCTTCTGATTGGTTCTGCGGTAGATCTCGGATCAAAGTCGTGATCGCTCAAGCTATGAGGCAACTTGGGTTCTTGCCTCAACAGTTCTGACTCAATGAGCTTGAGCTCGGTCTTGCCTGGCGCGACGTTATTGACGAAACTCGTGTCGAATGGATCGACATCTACTTCCTCGTCGTCTATTGGTAATGACTCTTCTATAGATTTCTGGGTATAGTACGGTGTCAGCGGTTTAGAGGGTAGTGTCTTCTCCTCTTCGGTAGTCGCGAGAAGGTCGGGTCTCTTTGACGGCGTCGGCAATTCAAACGCAACAGCTTTAGTTGGAGCTAGTTCGAGAACTTCCGGCCGGGAAACCTTTCTCTCGAGATTCGTTGGAGTCGCTTCGACCTTCTCGTCCTCTTCAAAGTTGACAGTAAACACTGGCTCAACTGGCGCAAATTGAACAGGCGCGGATGGTCTAGGTGGTAGCGGTTTTGTGGGTAGCTGCTTTACCGACGTCTCATCCTTCCTTGGATCAAAGTCATTATCGTCCTCGACGCAACTGTTGGATTGTTCACCGAGTAATTCTTTTTCTAAAACCTTGAGCTCTGTTTTACCGGGTGGAAGCTCTTTCACTGCAGACGTATCGAAAGGATCAACGTAAGTGATATCCTCAACAGGCGCTATTGGTTCGTCCGCCAATTGACTAAGATCAGTGGTCGAACCGCCTAACAAGTCCTTCTTTGATGATAGCAAACTATTATGCTCATCTTTCTGTTCATCATCTAACTTCAACAGGCCAGTTTCGTAATCTCTGTTAAAACCAGCGGGATCAGTTAACGATATGGATACTTCCGAGACAGGCAGTTCTTCAAGTTCTTTCTCGATAAATTTTAGCTCTGTTTTACCTGGTAATATATTATCCGCGAATGTAGTATCAAACGGATCAGCCTCGTCGACAAAGGTAGCCGCTTCGAAGCTGGCCTCAATTATCTCTGTTTGAAAATCGGTTGTTTCAGGCTCCTTCGTGGCAAATGGATCATCGGCTTCCTTGAGGCAAGTCGACTCATTTGGCGAGGCGTTTAAATCAAATTCAGCGTCATCCAAATCAGGAATTTCTTCTAAAATCGTTTTCTCCTTCAAAACTTCAAATTCAGAAATATCTAGTGGACCGTTCGATGTTTTCTCAGTCAAAGTTGCGTTCTCTTGAATAACTGTAGGAGTAACGGGGCTGACTGGTCTTGGTAGCACAGGCGGTAATTTCGTCAAGTCAACGGGAATATCGGGAAGATCGTTATCATCATCTAGTAAAGTCTTTTCTATTTCTGTCGGTTCGTTTACAACAGTTTCCGCCGACAGCTGTTCCGCCTCGTCAAAATCGTCCAACAATAGATCTTGTTGAATTCGAGGTCTCCTTCCCTTGGTGATCTTGCAAGTGCTTACATAGTCGATTCTTCCCGATAATACCTCAACAGCATTGCCTAAACTGACTAGCTTATTGCCCTTTTTATCGACTGTACGAAGAACCTTGTCGGCGTTGGTGGTGTCAAAGGGATCGTCCCCAGTCTCTTCCTCGGTCGGACTGTCTGGTATATAAGCTAATTGAACGTCGATGTTTTGAAGAACGTCGACGTAAGTGGTGTCGAAGATATCCTCATCGGCGGAATCCTCTTGCTCATCTTCGTCCTCTGGTACGTCTACAAAACCGTCCTCGTTAACGAGTGATTTCTCTTCCTTTGTTTCTTGACCGTTGATCTCCGGCGGTGCAGCTTCGATTGGATTACCCTCCTTGTCGAAGCCTACCCACCTCTTTGAGGATGATTTGTTGGAGTCCTCTTGCTTTGCTTCTTCTGGTTTCTTCTCTTCCAACGGCGCTTTTCGCTGGAAGAATGAAGTAGACTTTATCCGATCGAGGTCATTTTGAGTCTTCTTCAAAACCGAATCGACGCCAGCAGTCAAAGCCTGGAACTTTTTCCACTCGTCAGATCCGGTACCTTTGGCTGATTCGCCGGCTTCCTCGGCTTTCTGTTGGGCCTCTGCCCGCTCGCGCCGATAACGCTCGAGCTCTTCCGGATCAAACTCCTCCTCCTCCGCTCCCTTCTTGCCCTTCTTCGGCTTTTTCTTCTTCTTCAGCCCCTTGGCTAACTTGTGCATCCTCTAAGACCTACTGTAGTGCGTGAGAGGCTCCTGAAAATAAAAATCCAGATTATTGCATAAAAATATGAAATTTATTTACAATCTATGAAGAATATATTTCTCCAGCGATAAACATGATTAAAACATTTTTGAAAAAAAAAAAAGATCACTTTTGTTATATTTTTACAATTATACTGTGCAATTTCATGAATAGATGATGCAAAATATTCTATATATTCTAGGACACACACATACACAAGTAATTAAAATTTCTTAATTATTTCTAGATAATTAAGACACTACGTTTTAAAAATCATGGAGTCATTAGACTATAGTAATTTACATCTCCGAATAGAGAGTGACAATGCGGGATCATTGCTAAAAGAGGCCAATCGATCGTAGTGCAGTAACCGAATGTTTTTCTCCCTGGTCCTCAACTCAATTCCGTTCGACAAGCAAAAATAGCGACCGGTCGAAATAAAGGCGAAATATTTCTAGGAGCATTTCTCGGAGATGTGCTCTACGAATGACATCTAACTTCCTCACAAATGACTTGCCAGACCTGTCAAAATCGTCGAAGACAGTTAAAACTTTATATAGAAAGCGGATAAATTAGATTTTCGCCGAGAAACGTAGTTCTTTACATTTCGTCATGGAATTTCAACATTTTCATATTTCCGTTGTATTTCAATGACGTTGACTTGCGGTGAATTCGATAACAATACATTGCACATTTTACGATAATGGCTGAAATCGTACGTACATTATTACGCACTATGCGAACGTAAAATTAATAGTTTACAAATGTTTTTAACCGTCTTATTATTTTTATGTTAAGTTAGAGACAAGAGTGCATCGATAGATAGATTACAAGCTATGTACACAACGCCCTGATAAGCTTATAATCGTGTGACACACGTGTATATTTGCATTTTAATCGATATACACCAAACTTGCAGGTGTCGATAGAATTTAATTAATATACCAGCGTGTGGTACAGCAGCGGATCATCAATAAAACGATAAATATGTAGTATAATACTTTCTATTTTCGATGTTCTCGCATGGCGAGCTTCGAGAAAAAATCGTAAACTAAAATGCGTCAGTTGATAGAGGAGGTACGCATAGTAAAGAGGATGGAGGATAAAATGAAAATGATCCTCTCGATCATAAACTCTTAAATGTGACACTTTTGTCTTTCGTACGTGACCTACGTGCTATAGCACTACTCTTTGGCGACGGTAAGAGCACCCTTTTACACGCACAAATCCCTCGGCGTAGTTAGGTTTTCATCATGGGTCGCCGAGCAATTCCGGCTATGAATTAGATCTGGTCTGCAATATAGTGATGCACACATACGTGTTTATATGGTGTGAAGAATTGGCGTATATGTGTGTCATGAAATTATAATCGATATGCGAAAAAGCAAACGAGCAGATTCCAGCAACAAAAAGAAATTTCTTTGGTAATGTACTCAGCAAATATTTTTATCAAATATTGTTATACCGCAATTAATGCTAATCTATTAATACCAATTATTAGATTGCAGTCTAAATTTTAAAGTAAAAGCAGCGAGCAATCAAAATATTAAAATTAAATATAAATCAATTTGGATTTTTGTTCTTGTATAAGTAATTTAAAGAAAATGTTTACCAGAAAATGTTGAATTGCCACTTACATAATAGATATATTTTCGTTGTATTATGTGCGAATACAACAAAAAGTAGTACATAAAATAATCTAAGGAAAAAAGAAATATCCAGTGGCGAAGGCCATAAAGAATTTCTTAAATTTCAGGGTAACGTTTAGGTCAAACCGATTCCTGTTAGACGTTCTAGATTACAAAGCGATCGACAGTGACTTATGTCGGCGTCTCTTTTGCTTCTTCTACATAGCCAAATGGAAATAAATTATACATATCATGAATGTTTAATACACTTTGACTCATTTTCGTTAATTAAAGATCCAAATGCTCTATCTGTTCCTATTTCGTTTGTCAAATAGCATTTCTTTAGTATCGTTCATGAATCGATATTATCGATAATCATATGCAACACAAGATACTTCAGAAATGGAGACAGTACATGACATCTTCGATAATAGAGATGTTATTTGGATTTTGTATAATTGAGATTACAATTAATGCTTGTTAATGAAAGAAACTTAATTAATCAATTGACTTTTTTAATTAATATGTTTGCATAATATTATTAGTAATACGTGAATTACATTAGTTGTCATTTATTTACTAAATCAAATTAACATAAATATGTTTACTTAAAACTTTTCTACAAATTATTAAAAAAGTATCTTTTGACAATTAATATAATATGCTATTTTTTTAGAAATTAAGTAACAAATTATAAATTACAAGTGCATATTTTTAGATGTAATTTTAAGGCGTAGATTATGCCTTAAAATTACATCAGATTTTCCAAATAACATTTTTTTAAACTTTGATCGCAAAGAATTATTTATAAGGCGACATGATCGTGAGTGGAGAAACAAATAATAAATATTTGTTTGCAGTTTTATATGTAAAAACGTTTAAATACGCGTACATTGAAGTTTGCAAAAACTCTTTTTAAAATTTAAAACAAATTATATATTTGTCACATTAAACGTCAATGTCATTGTACTTAAGTTTGTAGTGTACAATTTTATCAGATTTAAATCAAATGGAAAACAATAATTATAGAGCTAATGAGAGTATAGCACAGACTACGATGTGCAGAATCGTGTAAAAACTTTATCAGATTTTTAATCAGTATCGAATACGGGACAGTTAGCGACTCTATATTGTGTCATGCATTTTTTCAAATTATGAGCATACAAAATAAAATGTAAAAAAAGTTTATAGAAATTATTTAAATGTTTAGGAAAAAGCATAGAGAGTAGGACAAAGTAAAAGCTATCTCTTCATCGGATAATATATCGTTAAATTTTACTCATTATTTAATTAGGTCATACCGTCAACGAAAAGATTCGAATTCAATATCCAATTGCAGTTGTCATAAAGCTTTATATTAAGTAAAGGTAGCGTATTAACTGTAACGATATCTCTCAAGGGCTCTGCCAGCACTTATATGCACCTGTCACTTACACATTCTACCTGAAGTCTGTCACGAGATTCCTGAATAAAGGAAAACTTGAGAGTATAATATTATATTAATTTCGATTATATCTCGTTCCTCGATTGTAATTTCGGCAGTTACACGGTACAATAATAAAAAAAAAAACGGCTAACAATATGAACATGTCTATTTTATATGTCTATAAAAATTTATCTTAAAAGCTTATAAAATTGATCTTAATATATATTCTATCATTTGTTATAAAATACTATATATCGACACTCCATCCTTTTATGAGATTTTTAAAAAAAAAAAAAAAATAAGTAAATATTTTTGGTATAAAACATCGGAGCGACTTGCAATGCGACAAAATTCCGAGAAACGCAACTTTTCACAAAAGAAAAGTAACAAGTTTTCGAAAATATGAGATAATACGCAACACGCGACGATAAAAATCAATACTCTATAAACGCAGTACTTAAAGAGAAGCTGCTAAACGTGTCTTTCCTGCGGTGCAGTCGATCACCGGGACAAGATGGGGAAACGCAAACTGCCGAAGACCACTTTTCCTGCACCGTAATCGATCAGGTCTTCTAAGTCTCATTGCAGTTCATCGTGTATTAAGTCTTGCCACAGTAGTCGCTGCTGTGTCAGTCACATTCATCGAGACACGGGGGACTGCGGGCGTCTCAAGAAACACGCGAGTGCTACGCCGAATCTAATTTTATCTCCACCGAAGGGGGTTTGAAAGCAGCGCTATGCCGATATAATTCGTACTTTGCACGCAGATTTTAAAGGTTCAATAAATAAACGTTTCAGCTTCTATAGAGAACAATGAATCACGCTGCACGGCGTTTATGATTTCAATTTCTCAAGATCTCTCCAAAGGCAAGGATTCGTATAAGCAACTTTATAAGACATTTCAAATTGTTGCTTAACTTACGTTTGCAAATGCAAATTTAACTCCGTACAAATTAAGCACGCTCGAGAAACTGAAAAAAGGTAAAGAATAAAATTTCTTAATCCCATCCTTTCTATATAGCATCCCAATAAAATAATGACTAGTCCCTAGGAATATATCATCAAGTAATATCGTATAAATCAAACTTAAAAGTCAATTATGAACGTTCTTTGAAGCTAATGCTGCTAATAGGAGGCCAAAGGAAGATTAAAAGAAAGTAGATATATGAAATCAGATGAAATACGTAAGTGGCGTTAACTTCTCGTGCACCATGCACGGAATTATCCAAAATATAACACTGAATTAGCCCGATTTTTCTTTCCTAATTTCCATCTAGGACGTCTATTACTATGTAAGCTACACACATCATGAGAGCCACAAACCATCGACTTGCGGCGACATTAATTAAACGTGCAACTAGTAATCGTGTATATTCCATGATGGCATTCAACAACGCGTCCAAGATTATCTAAATTCCATTTAGAATTATAGCATACGCGTTTCGTATCTAATCTAATCGCGAATAAGTGGACGAAGGGCTATTTTCGATTTGGAGCGGAGCTAATAATGCGCGTAATGACAATTACGCGTCGGAAGTAACGGCATGAGAGCAACGAACAGAGTTACGGTCGCCTGTTGCGAAGACGAAAAATTGTGTGAATCTACGAAAATTATATGCAACTTGTAAATGTCGCTGCGCGATTACAGAGGGATGCCGGAGTGGCGATCAATCCGGTCGAATATGCGAGAGCGCCCGCCGTCCACCGGGGGGGGGGGGGGGGGTGGCACCCTCGTCCGCCTTTCGGCGGCCGCTACGGCTAAACCGAGGTCGTGCAATACTTACGATTTCAGCCTCATCAGCCGCGTTGATACGACACACATTTTTTTCGCGTCATCCCGCTCGACTTAGGTCCCGGGTCGCGGCTCGAGGTAGTTCGGTACTCGCAGCCGGCGTATTTGATCCGTGAAAGAAGAACGACGACGACGACAGTAGCGATGTTGGCGGCGGCGGTGGCGGCGGCGGCGGCGGCGGCGGCGGCCGCGCCGGATGCGGAAGATTGGATAGACAAGAAGTCAGAGGTAACGAGTTACGGAAATGAGTTATTAGCTGGGAATGGAGCGTCGGCTGCGGTGACGGTGAAGGTGGCGGCGGCGGCGGCGGCGGCGGCAAGCGTCGATAGAGACGCGAAGGCCGTGCCGAAAGCGAAGGCGACTCACCTCGTACTCTCCTGCGGACCGAGCTATTTTCAGCATCGATCCATTTCCATCGGAGAAGAAACATGCGCGCGGCCACACCACCCACCGCCCCCGGCGACGGTAGCGACGGCGGCGGCCCCAAAGAATTGACGGCGTTTCCTGTCAAAGCGACGGAACCGCGGTCGACAATGTTCAAGGGTGAAGGGTGATAACTGGAAAATCGCGATATCATGTAAGATCCAATAATGATGCCAGGGATTGAAGGACAGAAATCATCTATTATCTAGTTCAGAAGGCAGCTGGATTTCTTTCACTTATTTCAGCGAACCTTCATGAATTGTATTATTATATCGAAATATGATAGCTGGAATGACGGTCTGGCAGTGGCGCTGTGGGATAGAAAAAGATGATGTGCTCAAATTTGTAAAAAAAAAAAACAATGCACTCACGTTATAATACCAAGACTAAAACTTTTCTTCACTTTTCTTCATTAAAAACGATATAATCATAACCTGACAGCGATCCTTTAATTGGGACGCAACATGACGGTATACTTTCAATTGTGTAAAAAAATAATTAGCTTCATAATGCCAAAGTTGAAATTTTTTGTGACGATAATTTATACAAAAAAACGTAAAAAGATGGTAATCTTTTGCTGCTTGCTGATGGAAAAATAGCTCTGGGAGCTGAAGATTACGCTGGAAGTTCTCGACGAAACGTCCTGAAAGATCGTTGTCAGATTATATCGTTTTTAATGAAGTCAGTGCTTTATAGATAAGAAAAAAATCCAGACATAAGACGTCTTTTACAAGTCTTTTGGAAAAACGTCTTTAAGATATTTTTACGTCTTACGTCTTATTTTTTAAACATGCGTGTCATCTGGATAATTATAATTAAAATAGTTTTAGCCACAATAATGTAAATGCATTGCTTTTTTTTTTTACGAATTCGAGCACGTCTTACCCCGTCTTACCCCGTCTCGCAGCACCACTGCCGAACCGTCATTTCAGCAATCGTATACTTCAGCATAACAATAAAATTCATAAAGTAAGCTTGGTGAAATGAGTGAAAAAATCCAGTTGCCTCTCAAGTCTCAGACGATATGATAAATTAGTCTTATTGAGATATTTAAACAATTAATTAAATCGCAAAGAGAGGGCTGCTAATGTCATGCGGATTTAGAGTTCATATTGATTAGAGTATAATTAGCTCTCTGTTATTCCAATTCCTATAGCGTGGATTATACGAATCGGCATAGGCTAATAATAAATGTGGTATACAGAGCTCGTTAAATAGGTCGGAAATATAACTACAGTTTTTCGCTTAGCGATTCTTTAATACGATCGGTTCTTACCTTTAATTTTCCGCTGGATCTAAGAGTAAGAACCAATCGTATTAAGGAACCACTAAACGTTGACTGATTTGTTTTCTCTACTGATCGCTGCTATTCACTCTGTGCCTGTGGTACCGCAACGTCAATCACCGACTGCCAACTGCAAATGCTATTTTGTTTGGCAAAAGAGGCATTCGTGTAAACATTACAAAATCCATTTGCAAAATGCATCTTGTACTGTAAATATTGTAATAAGTTTCTCATCAAGCAAACTTACGAATAATAATATTGATATGTTACTTGTTTTTTCAATAACAATCCAATTGTTAATCGGGAAAGATTTAAAACTAAATTAAAGAAGGGAATGTTAGGCTTGGTACGAAAATACTACGAGAGAATACCTTGTCATCGATGGTCAAATGTCTTTTTTTTTTTACGAACAGAAAAGATTAACATGAATAGAGATGATATTGTTAACAATGGAAACAATATATTATCTACAATCAAGACTCTTTCGGGACACATATTCGAGGATTGATAATCTTGTAGCTCTCGCAATATATGTGGGCATGTATATACGATGTATATACATATTCGTATATATTTCTCTTCTTCATACATATATTTCTCCTCTTTGAAATTGTACGTTTATTTTACACGTGGAATTAATATAATTAATAATAATATGAATAATAATAATAATAATAACAATAATTATAAGAATAATGTACATACTTTCACCGTTGTCGTTTACATAATCGTGACGGTAATCGAAATCATGCGTATAATGATCATAATTATGACGTAATTAGTACAGGTTTGCCAAGTGAAGAATTGCTGTTGAAAAAATTTGATTCGCTTGATTTGATATAAATGTGTATCCGAGATTTATTTAATACACAATTCGCGCCGTCCATTACGCAGGGCGGTTATACGTTAATATTTGTCTGCCATGATCACTCGACAAAACAGCACATGCAATAATAATCATAATAATAGTAATAATTCGGATAATAATAATTAGAAAAATTAATAATGATGAATTCGAATAACTATCCTTCCTCTCTTCTCTCTCTCCACCCCTCTCTCTCTCTCTCTCTCTCTCTCTCTCTCTCTATCTTTTTCTTTCCCGCTTCCTTTCCTCTCTATACATAAGTGCACAATTATTTACAGAATCAATATAATGACAAATTCTAGGGTGCCTCTTGAGCGCATTTTAAAACTTGGATTCATCTGGAAATAATCCAGGATTATTTGGCACATCTTGCTTGCGTCCTTTCACATGCGGTCTGATACGTGATACGATATTGAACCGTCATGCATTGATTGGCTCTTAGAAGATCGATTTTAAATAGCTAAAAATTGAAATAACGATTTTTTTTTTTTCACCGTAGACACATCTCTCTAAGTCGCGCGTCCATTTTTACGACTGTTTTTCACATTGAATTTAGTGTATCTATCTTTTTCTCTCTGGATCGACTAACATTACACAGTTGATCTAATCACGACACAGTAGCCCACAATCTCTATACGAACGGACACATCTTTGCCGAATTTACCGGAGCTCTTAAAGTCATCGAAGAAAAGAAAAAAATACAGAAAAGTTACTTTCCGACATAATACACAATTATTGCTAACGCAAGAATATTTATAAGATACACATCGCGCACTTGCATTTACCGAATAATTTCCAATGAAAAACCACAGTGGCCTTTCTTCCTCTCTCTACTACACATTTTTTTTTCTTTTCTATTTCGCATCGATCCCTATTTTCGTAGCGATACAATGACACAGATAAACATCTTTTACCCTATTCGATCGCGTTGCGTAATAATCGCTCCCTGTAAAAAAACACTTAGGAGAAACAATTGTTTTATGCGAAATTTTCAAAAGCTTGTATACCGAACCACAGTCGAGCCTAAGTCTATTGCGTTTAACGAATCTACGGGTTCGAAACACGAGTTTCTGCTCTCTAAACAAACACGAAATGTCTAGGGCGAACGATAAAACGTTAGCGAGTTTCACCTTTTTCGACATCGCAGACGTTTCCTCTTGCGTTCGAAGAAACGCATAAAGTGCGTCGTTATGCTTGTGGGATCGTCGTTTTGGAATTTTTTTTTCTTCCTTTATAATAAGAGCTTCCGCTTGGTTAGAATAACAGGACTGCCAAAAATTTCTAACCAAAATTTCACGTGAAAAAACATGCGACTCTCTATGATCGTATGCGAAATATATATATATATATATATGTATATGCGTATGACTGATTCGCGATATAAACGTAAAAAAAATTAATTACATTACGCGGAGTTAATAATGTAATCACGTTAATATATTCGCACGTGCTACGCTGAATAAGAATCTTTTAAAAAATCTGGATCGGAGCTCCGGTTCCACTTATCAAAATTTATCAAAACGTATATGCGATAGATCATAGAAAATTACACGATATTTTCACGAGTCCCCCAAGTTAGAAATTTTTCACTGTTAGGAGACATCAGGTCAGGTACACTTCCTCATGTAGAACGGGCTATGTAAGAAAGAGCAAAACGCTCGGCAGATGTGCTTTGGCGCACCGAAAAGATGATACTTTTTGTATACTCGCGCATCTAATATAATAATGTTAACCGCTTGGGGAATGGGTCAGTCATGAGAATTTAATCGTAAATACCTCTGATACTTCGGCGTACGAACGTATTTCAATCGGAATTATCTCGGGATACCAAAAGTAGACTAAACTGCAGCAATTCTGTTTGAAATTTAAGCGGAAACTTAAATTTAAGTCTTTCGTCAGATTATCGTCCGCGATTTGATTACATATTCGCTTAAATTCGAAACATCATTGATGCAACCGAGTCTCGAAAACTGTCGTCTTTCACGGTGGTATATAAGCACCATATTCTTTTTTTCTTCTATAACAAATGTAAGAATCTACGTCGAGGAGTAGTTCGTCACAGAGGTTGAGTGAAAATTTTTTGCAGAACATTCATTCTCTTTTCTATTTCTCTTCTTCCCTTTCTCCCTTTGAAGATTGCTCCGTCATTTTCATGGCACCAAAGTACGACAACACGCGCGGAAGACTCTGTCAGGCGAGTAGTACTTGCAATATGATAACCGGGGAAGATTTAAGATTTGCGTAAGAAACATAAAACTATGTAACAGGCACCTGTAGAAGAACCAGTTCTCCGAATTTCTATTAGACTTGCTTGAAGTCTTACTTGGAAAAATTGCGTAAAAGCACTTGTCTTGCAAACAGATACCGCAGATACTGGCCTCCGATCGCCGTCCTCACCGTCGAGACACCGTATAGAAACGCTCGTCTTAAGCGCGGCGATTAAGACCGCTTAAGTTACTGAACCCAAGACGCAGGCACCCACTGAGGTTCTCTCTCGAGCGAATTAATCTCCGTGAGAAGCTGGTTATACGCCCGATCCGTATCGTTGTTGAGGATAAGCATATCAAACAGATGGCCATACTTATCCTCCATCTCACGAGCCTTCTCGATTATGTCTTTTAATTCTTCCTCTTTGAAGCTTTCGTTGTTCTTGATCCTCTTCTGCCTAAGCTTCTCGAGGCTTGGAGGCGCAATAAACACAACATACGGCTTCAGATCCGAATTTCGCAGGATCTTGAGACTCTGGGGATGCAGGTTTAAGACACAGATTTTCCCGGAATTAACCACTGTCCTGATGGCCTCCACGGACGTGCCGTAATACGCTTTCTCGTATTCGCCGTGCTCGACGAACTTCCGACAAAGAATATCGGACTCGAACTGAGCACGAGAAATGAAATGGTAATCCTGCCCATCGACTTCGGAATCTTTCTTTGGACGACTTGTATCTAGAAATCGAAAAAATAGAATGTATTATTTAGATTATTTTTATGCTTTATTTATAGATTGAGGTATTTCTTTGAAAAAATTTTTAGATTTGTATCTAACTAAATTTTTAGATACTTTAACGAAATCGGTTTTTGCGTGTATAAAATAATAAATATTCATAGCATATTAATTGTTTCATTGGCTGTAATAATCCTAGCTTCACATTATACAAAATATATTATCTTAGTCAATCATGTTAGTTTCAAGTTAATCAACTTCATCGGGTAGGCTTTACAGCAACAGCTTTGCTGGCGCCTTACCTTTTGTGTCTACCTCACACTTATGTATATACATCTCATTGTCAGTATATTTCAAGAGTATAATAAATTAAGTTAAATTAAATTTTAAAAAATGACACTTACGTGGTATCGCTGCAGCAAAACGTTCGCTGTCCTGCATCAATCTCTGCCTAAGTTCGTGCCGTCCGATGTTGGGTGGTCCGATGAGTACAATTGGCCTCTTGTGATTTGCACGAGGATAGTATAAGGCGACTTCCTCATACGTCAGCACTTCTTCGCTGTCGTAATCTGCAAGAAAACTTTGCGTCTAAGAACAGTCTTTAACAATTTGTAATTGACATTAGGTCAGCCAGTTTAGGCTTTACATACCATCTATGGCAGTTGTCGCGTAAAGTGGATATCCATCGTCATTGAAGTTCGCGCCAAACTTGTTTCGTTTCTTCTTCTTTGGATTTTTTCTCGCGCACAATAGCGTGCTGGATTTTTTCGAACCTCGCATCGTCGATTTGTCGCCGGCTATCGTCTGCTTCATGGATTCTCGTCTGTATAGGTAAAACAGAATGCCGTTTTAAAACGGAATATTCAAGTATTGGCGCGATTATAATCTTCGATTATAATTAACTCACTGATGTTGAAATGCTCTGCTGGGTATTAGACCAGCCAGTGTCTGATCCTCTTCACCCTCTCGATATGCTTGCCACCAGTTAGGATCCTCTTGGGAAATTACGTGGAGTACATCGCCCTTTTGAAAGCTTACACCCAACTCTCTGCACGGTATGTACGGGTCTTCTTCGGGATCGTAATCGAAATGCGCTCGTATATGTATCTAGATGCAAATGGTAAAAGCTTTATGGTTACACATGTCATACCTGCGTTATGTTCGTGCAATAAAGCCAAAATAGCTGTTTCCTATTAGCGTCGATCTATAGATAATTCTGTACGTGTAACTTACAAGTATCAATGCCGTCTCGTTAAGATAAGAGAACAAATGTCATATGCTTACATGTATATGACATTCGCTTTTATACGTACGTTGGTTCAGTCAATATAGATGCACTGAACGAACTTTAATTAAGCGAACGACAGAGTGACTAAATAATATTGATTTTCTTGAACTACAGACATCGAAATCGTAAAAAGACGTTCAAATGTAAAACGACCAATGTCATTTGTATCTTGGAAGTTGAAGGACAAATGTTTTCCCTATCTGACATTTGCCCTTTCACCTCCAATGCCATCACCGGTAATATTGGTTGTTCTAGTTTCAAGATCCACGGTAGTCCACATTTCTAATACGAGAATATGCTAAATATATCAAGATGTGTGCTGTATATATCGTACCTGAGTCGTGTCTTCTCTCCTTAAATTATTTCTGTGGCTCGTTGGAGCCGGAAGTACCAAGAACGTGAGACCACCCTGCATACCAGCAAGAATATCACAAACTTCGTTGACAGTCTTGCCGCGCATTTCTACTCCGTTCACCTCGAGAACCTCGTCGCCCTCGTGCAGGAGTCCTGACTTGTCTGCCGCGCCACCGCGAACGACACGTCCTTGAAAGACAGAATTAGTTTTAGTGTTAGAAATAATATTCTCGGAATTGAACGATAAGATTATACGACAAATATTCAGTAAATCACCGGTATACTTTTAGCAGAGATAGAGGAAATGACAATTGCGTATAAACATGATTACCTATGATTACCGCATCCCCTTCATTTCTGACGGTAGCACCCAGAGGTTCGTTAGTTTTCTCAATTCGGATAATTTTAATGTTGTCGACTACACGGGAATCTTTCCAACTAGACGTCGGACTGGGCGGACCACTGGGTGGAGAGGACGGGCTTTGCTTCCTTTGTAAACCTTCCACGTAGGAGACGATAGAGTCGTGCGCCAGAAGCAGAGCCTCCATGTCGTAACTTGTTAGAATACTCGTTAACTCTTCCACGGCGGCTATTGTTTCTGCTCCGCCGACACCTGTTGCGGTCGACGACAATTGCCATTTTTCAAGGATATCCACGCACTGGAACATCAGAACGCCAGAGCATTAGAATTATGACATAAATCGAAAAACAAGTAAATAATAATAACATATTTAATATACGTAAGAAGGTCCTTCATGAGATTTGTTGAACAAATGATTAAAAATACATGACATGAGATATAGTTTCTGAGTTATACATTTATGTTTAAAATTCATTGGAAAAAGACCTCTATTTAATTAAATAGAAATTACAAAAAAAAAACATCATTATTAAAAATTGAGAAAACAATTTTAATAAGCTTTTCTATACTATTCTAATTAAATTACGTACGCAATGTTGTATACCACCTAGCTTCACGATTGGAAAAAAATTTTAATTAGTAAACAAAATGTGTATTGAATAGCGTTTTAAATAGCTTGAATAATAGCTTGAATAGATCCTCTCTTTTATTATGTTCTAAATTATCAATTTTACATACATCTCGCGCTAAACTCGACGCGTCATCGGCATGATGTTTGAAAATCTTGCTCGCCCTTAGCCGATTTTTTAAAGCATGACGAGTCGCCAGGGCAGACGCAAATTGATTCTGCACTAAAAGTGTTCGGACTGCCTCGAGCTCGGCTTCGACACCTGGACCCGAAATACCGAGAGCACCTGAAATATTTCGCAGTTGGAGCTGCAGCCTCTCCAGCGTAGCAACGACCTCGCCGTACGCTGAAATATGAAAGGTATACTTGTTAGAAATTTCCTTGCGGAATCCTGTGCCGCCGCACCCGCTGTTTATTTACGCTACACAAGCGGGCTATAAGGGAAGAGCGAGGAACTATATTTAGTAGCATTCAATTTTCAGCAACTTTCAGAATTCTTTAAATACCGTTCTCGCGTTTGTAAGTTCATGCAATTAAATGCAAATGAGATAGGTCTAAAGTTCTCTTCAAATAAAACAAAAAATCGAAAAAACTTAAATATTAATGTAAAAATAAATAAAAAGTACAAACTGTACTATATTAAATTTTCTTAATTAAATTTATCTGTCATTCTTTTTACATTTTCATCTTGTGGTATTTTCTTTTTAGAGAGAACTGCGAGAATATATATGGAAAAGAAAAATTACTCACTGAGAGGCCTGGGCGGCTCCTCCACTTCTTGGACTGCATTAGGAGTGGCGTGTGTAATTCGACTGACGCCGGTGGTCACCTCGTCCTGTGCGTAAGCAATATTTGCCTGGCCACTGAGACTCGTCGCGTGGCTCTCCAAAGCTTGAAGCTTTTTAGAGCCACGGAGAGAATGGCTGAGCATTTCCTGCCTTTCCTCCTCATCTTTCCGTTTCCGTAACTGCTCCTGTAAATGCGATACGACCGGTAAACTAAATTTTCTTTTACAAGATATAAAAGTTGTTCATGGAAATTTAAATCTCGTAGCAAAACAGAACTCTCCATGTGTTCTAAAAGTCGAGATATCAAAATTCTATTCGACAATTATTAAAATGTATGACACGTATCTCTTCACAAAATATTTCACATATTTTTTCTAAAAGATTAAATACAATACATTCTTATTTAAATGTATTTTAGATGCAATTGTGTATATAATAAATAATAAGATTCTTTAAAATATAAAAAGAACAGAAAATTTATATTAGACTAAAACTTATCACGGTTCTCTTTCTGTAATTTATGTAATATTTATCTAGTCTACAATATATACATTGGAAAAAAAATATTTAACATATTTTGAAAACATAATATTTTAATTCAAACTCTGGTTAGATTGTCTTAAGGAAATCTTGTCTTATTGAAGTATCATAATTATGCTGATTATGTAAAAGTCTGTGAAATAATTGCTGTATACATCAACTGTATGTAACGAGTGTCGCAAATATGTACGATTCGCTGCAAAATTTAAAGACCACTCAATGCGGTTGCAACTTGCGAAAAGTAAGAAGTTCTTGAATGATATTAAATTCAGAGACTCAATTGAACTTCTTTGCGAATGCATATCTATTTATCAATTATTTCGAGATAGCTTATATCCAGAAATGTGAAGTTTTTAGTTCTCAGTCAATTAAATCTGACACAATACACATCAATGTACATATCTCTCTCATATATTCTATAATATTCTATACTATGTATCTACAAATAATTTGTTTCGCTTATTATTGTTTTTAATCTATAAAAGTATTTTCAACAAAATCTGTTTCGTTTCATTACTCCGCATAAATCTCGTTACTCAATAATTTTATAAAATCGCTCTTGTTTTCTAAAGTTTATATAATCGCATTACGTGAATGTATGAATTAATTAAATAGATGAAACGAAATGGAATATGAAATATTTGTTGACTGAGAGATTTTCTAAATATTACAAAAAAGAATGGTTCCCAAGTTTTCAAGAATCTGTGAAATGAATTATTCATACTTAAAAAATACTATATTTTTATTATTATTTTCGATATATGCAACGCTATATTTAGCAAAGTCTAATTTGCAATAAACTTTTATTTTCTTCATGAGTCAGTAACATCTACTCGCGATCAAATTACATGAATTTGTCATGCTATCGGCGATATTTGTGATTCGTGATCTACGCCCACCGGTGTCAGTTGATAAAGTCGTCATTAGTCAGCCGTCGCGTTTTACCGTCGTGAAATTGCAATGCGTATAACATGCCCGATAAAAAAAATGTTTATCTGCAATGCCGCAGTAGTCGGCGGAAAAACATATGACTCTTAATTTTCATTTACATAACGAGCACCACATTTTGCCGCGCAATGCTGAACTGATGCCTGAGTATGAGGATAAACATATCTCAGTGAAGCCCTATTTACCTCGATAGTGGACGTAAGGTTTCCTGTCTCGAACTCTCGCCCTCCTGCACAGTGTACTTAGACAACATCAACATGTATGTGTCGACTTAGAAAAAAAATGACAACAAAATGAATTCCGAGAGAAACCAATGTTTTCAGTTGTTTACATAAGTCTGGACGATCTCTGATATCTCGCGGTATCTACAATCTGTTCCAATGTAATTACATCTTGATAAGAATTAATTTACGGAATTTTGTAAATAGAGAGAGAATGGTACATAAAATGGAATTGAGGGAGGAAATTGCAACGCTTTATGGTTTATATATTATAAATTCACAATTATTAAGGATTTTTAAATAAACAGCAGTTTAAATAGTAATAGAAATATCAAAATGTAAATTGATAAGAAATGTAAGATATATGGTGGCTATTCGGTCGATACTATTGCAACTAATAACTTTCATAAAAACAGGAAAGTAAAGAAAAATGTGTTGAATTTAGGACACCTGCTGCGGCAGTATCTCGAGATATTAGAGCAGCGAACCGAATTGAAAGTCTGAAATAGGTTCCCCGTCTGCTTGAGGCAGATCAAGAAACTGAGGTCAGGAAAATAGGAGCCGTAGAGAAAAAGAAGAAAAAAAGAAGGGACCAGAAAGAAATCCCGAACGCAGCAGGCCTGCGAGTCACTCTACGTCTACACCTATCGAAAACTTCGTAACGCTACACTTCAGGCATGTAATCTTAGACTATTGCAGGGGTCCTTTACATTCCAGACCGCACTTGACTTAAGGCAGGTAAGAGCGTGGTATGAGGATTCCATAAGATAAACAGACTCGCGCGCGGCCCCGATGACGCCAGTCACGTAAGGGGTTCTGGCATTTCTCACACTTACAGATCCTGAGATTGTATGAATTTCAAGCGCGCCGCGCTCTATTCACGAGCATATCCAGATCTCATCTACGACTTTCCACCCGAAGAGTTTTCCACCCGACTTTTAACGGCTCGACGAAACGAGGTTCAACGAGGAGGATGAAAAATTATTCGACGCGGGACGTCACAAATGGATCCTCACGCCGCGTGTTTTAATTTCAAAAAGACATCCTTCCCCTCCACCTCCGTCCTCCGCCGAATTGCATTTATTAACGGACAAGCCGGTACTTCAGTGTCACGTGCGTGCACTTTCGTAAGCACACGTTCGGAATATAAATGGAATAAAGAATTTTCCACGTTCCACCGGCGCCCGTTTAATCATTTCCGAATAATCACCGCTTGTTAACGCACCCCCCGTTCTGTTAATGCGCCTAATTAATTTCCGCTCGCGCAAGGTCGCATTGCGATTTCATTTGTCAATTGAACCTGGGCTCGGGGAATTCGGAAACTGTGTGTCGCGCGACGAATGGTGCCTCGATAATAACCATTGTCATCACAATTTCCTGCGCAACGTGGTCACGTGAGTAGCGAGCTCTGTAGTACGTCCTTTTAAATAACGATCCGTCATTTACTGCCTCCGTTACGCAATCCACTGCTTACCCACGGCTGTTGCGTGATTCTCACGGTTGAAAACTCCCTGCAAAACTTGGAAAACTGTTTTTCCGACAACGCGCGTTGTCATTAACAGCTTGATCTGCATCGCGCAGGGCAAAATCGTAAATTTCGACGAGAGAGCTTTATCGTTGTGACGAGGCACCGGAGGAAGCGCACGTGCCAGTTTACGAGCTAGACCGGCGATATTGCGCGGTCAACCCTTCTTCAATATGTAAATCATGTAAATCGCATCTCGCGCGTAAAGATTCCTTTTTACGAGAGAGAATGTTCATCACATCGAGCAAAATCAACAATGTTTCGTGGCAATTGCCAAACGTAATAATTGAACATAATTTTTACAGCGAAATCGATTGCGTAAAATTTATTCTTTCAACACACAGACGCGGCTTCGATATTAATAATAATAATCAAATAAACGCTTCGCAGCGCGCTCAGATAGACGTGATGTGATAGATACAAATTGCAACATTGCGCATTCCCCGATCTTAACTTGCGCGCGCAGTGAGAAAGAATTATCAGCATTTATCTTGAACGTGATACTTTAGAAAAAGAGAGCGATATACTTTAACCTACCCTCTTTCCGCTCAGTTCAAAAGAATTGAGAATAAAATCTTTCTCTTCAACTCCATACTTTCAAAAGAGAAACGATTATGCTTCGAGCTACGTCATGTTTTTTTTTTCTCTAAACCGATAGTGACAATTTCATAGGGATTGCGTTAGTCTATTATCGTCTATACAGCACTTACCAGCTTC